CGAAATTATGGGGTAAGCTTGTAACGTTTGATGGCGTCTTTGAGATGGACAAAATGAGAAAGCAAAAGGAGTTCCATTATCCATGTAAGATGAAAAAAGTGAGAAGGTAAAAGTGGAAGGTGAAAGGAGGCGGTCTTATTAAGTGAGAAGGCAAGAGACGAAAGTGGAAGAAAAAGGGCGAAGGAATGAAGAGAGAAAAAGTAGAGGGGTTGGAAATTTTGGTTCATCTTCTATGTATCTTCGCACATCCATTCGGGGACACCATGTGAAATCCTTAAATAATCATTGTCAAAGGGATGGGTCGTCCTACCATCAATGAGCCCTTTTGGTAAGGAAAATCCTGCACAAATTCATGCCAGTTTTATTTATTTATTTATTTATTATTATTATTTTAATTTTATGGCCTGTAACTGTTTCCATGGATTCGTGATGTAGAGTACGAAAACTTGAGATAAAATTTCACATCAATAATGTAATATAAATTATATTATTAAGTAAATATATAAAGTTTATTTTTTAATATTTTAAATATAATATCTTATGATAATTTTTCGTGTCATATAATTCGTCTATTTTAGCATTATTCATTTCCATCCAATTATGGTCACAGCTTGTGCAATAGTAGTACAATCTTGGAAAATGCACTAGAGACTTGGTAGCCAATCCCACTTCGGGCTAATATTCTTGTTGAGTTGAGCTCAAATGCTGAAATGGCTACAAAAGAATATAGATGATTTTTCCTATCAAAACTTACATAATTTACAGGTACCTGACGGTAAAAGAATTTCATCCGGCCAGCTCACTGACTGGGGGGCGGTCCATAACATCCGCTGCAGTTGCTGCATTTTTTTGCAGCACCGGGTCAATATCAGGCAATTTAGGAATCTGAGCCAATAAATCAATTGTTCGTCGGAGAAGGCGAGCTAAATCCCCCTCATCCATGGCACAATCCATCATTAGTTCTCTCCAGGACAGTCCGGATGCCCAGGCTTCCACCATTCCAGAAAATTGGCTATCCAAACAGCAGGGAATCTCTACCCCATGTTTTTCTTGGAGTTGAATGAGGGAGTTTCTTTGTTCATCCAAGAAGGCAATAACATTCATGACCGTCGAGGAAGGTTCATATATGTAAGAATTATTTTTCCACGCGCGTACCTTTATTCCTTCAGAAACTAAACTTGCACATACAGCAGCAAGTTGTGCAGGTTTTAGATCCAGCAAGATTTTATTCCGAAGAACCATTGCAAGCCAGAGTTCATTTTCTCCACATATTGCAGCTGCAGTTTCACCAAGAGGGAATATCACATTTCTATTGATATCCAATGCCCTCATTGCATGAATGACATTGCTGACTTGCAGAAAATCCTTCCAGCCAGACGGTTCAATTTTCTCCATTCTATTAATCAAATGATTCGATCTAGCCTTCAGGCGCTTTATCTTTTCCTCAGTTAACTTGGTCATGTCTATGATCTTCTTGTATTCTCTGAAGCCTTCTGTACGGGCAATCTTTTTCTTCAAGCGTGCAACTTTCTTCCTTTGTTCCTTGTAACGCTCAATTGAATCATTATATGCTTGAGACATACGCAACACTTCATCATCTTCAGAAAGACTACTTAAAACTGGAACGTTCAGACTCCAAGACCAAGTCTCCAAAGATCCTTCCATGCACCATAAACCACCAAACTCAGAGTCAGCAAGTTTTTCCCATTGCATTTCCTCCTTTCCAAGAATCATTGTCATAATTTCTCGAGGCAAAGCATCCCCTTCAGTTAAAGCAACATCAGGAAAGCCAGTCTGATAAACAGTTGCAATCCACTTTTCTGTAAACAGATACCAACTGTTATCTGAGCCAAGAGCCACGTGGTAAGATGGTTCAACATCTTGATCAGTTTCAACTTTGGCAGCATTTAACTCAGTTTCAACTAAATTTATTGCAAAGGAACCACTTGTAGCAACCATCTCCTTAACTTTTGACCCACCAAGCGACTCAACTCTCCCTAGATAAACAGCAGGGACTATGTGTTCAACTCCTTCAGAATCTTTATATTGCAAGCACAGAAAAGGTAAGTGCCCATTTTCCAAGTCCTTTAATAGAGGTTTCAGAACAGACAGTCTTGTTACTTCCATCCTTCTTCGCATTTCTGTCCTAAGGTTTTTTTCTGCCCTTAGTTCTTCTTGTAGATCTGCAATCTCCTTATATGCCACTTCTGACAGAATTTTTCTGGTCTTTCTATCTATAGCATCATCACTAATTTCAGAAGTAAGTCCTTGAATCTCTTTCTGTATTTTAGCAAGCTCCTCTTTCGCTGCAAGCATGACATTACTGCCTAAATAGTTACCAAAGCTTTGCTCAACTAACTTTCTAGCTTCTTCCAAAGTCCTCTTTGCTTGTAAGTTTTGAGTGTCAGCTGATTCATCTGATCTATGAGTAACCCTTGCACCAGCCAGAAGATTCAGCACCATTCCATAAGAAGCAGTGAACTGTGATACTAGGGGTTCAACTCCAGAAAATAGAAGCTTGCAGCACTCTTCTGCACCTTCATAAGGAGTTTGCATTAAAACAGCATGACCCTTTTCATCTATGCCTCTACGTCCAGCTCGACCTGCCATTTGAAGCAACTCATTTGGGCTTAATGAGATTCGGCCGCTGCTACTCCTTTTGCTAAGAGACGAAATTACTGCCGTCCTAGCAGGCATGTTGATCCCAGCTGCTAGAGTTTCTGTTGCAAAAACAACCTTAATGAGTCCTCGTTGAAACAGCTCTTCAATGAACGACTTCCATAAAGGCAAACACCCAGCATGATGAGTTGCAACCCCCCTTAAAAGTCCTTTCACAGCTGGCTCCCTTACAGCATCAGGATACTGAAGACGAAACTTTTTCAATGCAAGTTCCACCTCACTCGCCTCACAGTCATCTAAGAGGTCACAGTCCTCAACATACTGCACAGCTGCATCACATCCTCTCCTGTTAAAAATAAACCAAATTGCTGGCAACATATCCCTTGCCTTAAGGTGCCATAATGTATCAACCACTTGAGGCACCTGAAAATTAAAAGTACAGTAAATGATTTAAATTAATTGTTGTACAGGAAGACAGGCAAAAAGATAAGTGCAAATAATTATTCTAATTTGGAATTGGAAAGAACCAATATTTAAATGTATTCAGAATAAAAACACTGAATCCACACCTGTGAACGGCGAATTATGTTTTTGTCATTCTTTGACAAAGGTTTTGTGGACATGTGGCTTGTACCATTAAGGCTCTCATCACTAACATGTTTTCTTGAATTTCTTCTTCTAGACCCACTATCCTTGTAAGTTTTAACTCCTGAAGCAGAAAGTTGTAAGTAATTGAGTGACAGCTTCCTGCTTGAAATTTTAAAAGAGAAATGAAAGTTGTTAGAATTACAAAGACATAAATGAGATGTCATACAAACTATTAAGAGAGAAAAACAGACCTAATTATAGATCTATTAGTACGAACAAAAGTCTAAAACATTCACATTCCAAGTGATACTTTGAAAGTAGCATGCTTCTTCATAAGCCGGTTTTATGTAAGCAAAAATGTTCTATTCAACTATTCCATTAACAAAATTAGAAAAGGGAACCACTGATTAAACAAAGATGCAATTATCAAATTAAATTAATTTTTTTTCCAGTAAACACCTTGATGCACTTGTCCTATCTATAACACAGGAATAGGCACAGGAATAGGAATCCCGAGAATTTCTTATTAAAGCCAGTAATAGATGCAACATCTTAACATCCTAGAAAGATGAAATAAGCAGGACTAGAATTTACAACAAAAATAAAAACTGACAGACAGGCATGTGAATTTCCATGGTCACAATAAAACTAAAGACACTCAAATGTCTTGAAACATATTCCCTAAGAATTACCTATTCATGCGTGTTCCTTTCTCATTTAGAAGAGGTACTAGAGAAGTCTTTGTTGAGAAGTGCCAAGTCAATGGAACTGGACGCCTTGATGATGTCACCAGCTCAGTTTTGCCATGAATCTAGAAACAAGAGTAAATTAAAAAAAGAAAAAGAAAAAGAAAAATCAGATAGATTCAAAAATTATATACCACCAACAAGCAGAATCAATAGAATGTGACAAATAAAATATCAATACCTTAACAATAATAATATTTTAAAAAAGGTCATAAGGTTATTCTAGAATCTTTTTAAATATTTAACATGAAAGATATGTCCAAAATGACCTGAAATATGAAATAAACAGCCCCTTCAAATGTGGAATACTGAATACATACGGTTTTCTTGCAGTAGATGAGTCTGACAATGACAAAAAGATATGAGACTGATGATGCAGCAACTAGCCCCAAAGCCAATCAATGAGAACAAACATATGAATATTCAAAGCTGATTCTAGGTAATAGTGATTGCACTTTGGCAATGTATTTATGGATAGTTAGTTAAAAAAAAAAAAAAAAAACAACTCAAGCATAATAATAATACTCAAGGTTCTAGCCAAAGATAAGTAGTCCAAACACATTGTCATTCTTTCCCCTCATGAAGAAATATCAATTGGATATTCAGGAAAAATCAGGCCTCGATTGACCTTAGCTGCTTGTGAAATAATTAGAAATTTTAACTTAAGAAACCTCCACAACAGAGCAGAAATCTTGGACAAGAGCTAGTGCTTTTTATTCCTATTCTAAAATGTGCCAACATGTATCAATAAATCAGATATGATTCCGGTACCAGGT